ATTGAAAGGAAGAAAGAATTGTGAGAAATATTGTATTTAAGAATTCAAAGTGCACACTATTCGTAACACTAGCAATTATTTATTGCTGATCCAATTTTTTTTTTTTTTTTTTTTTTTACACTTCAACTTCATCATTGCTGGCTTAACCAAAAGAAACACTATACACAACCAAAACTTTTATCAATTAACTCAAATTGTCAGTTGCATTTTAGGATGAACTCGAAGTACTAATCAGATAAATATAATTCGCTCTCTCACTTTAAACAAACACTCATATTTGCAAAATATTAAAAATTCATAGAGAGCAACTAAGTTAAGAAGCATTGAACAGTTAGGATTTTGCATTGAAAAGTAAACATTCAAACTACTACTACTACTACTACTAGTCAAATATCACTATTTAAAACTTAAAATAAATATCATTTATTCAAATTTTAATAACTAACCATCTTACAAGTTAGTTATTAAAAACTCCAGCTTTATATAATGAGTACTAAAAAAATATAAAAGTAATGCTATGTCATGTTTTAATAATCAATGATGTATGATTTAGTGTTTACATATTGAATAAATACTGCTGGGAAAAAAAAAAAAAAAAAAAACTTGTAAGCTATATAATTATGATATCATTAAAAGAAAAAAAAAAGAGCGAATTTTTGAAGCATTATTGAAATTTGCATAAAATATAAACAACAGAAAGCCAAAAGTTTATCGCAGTAGACATTTAATATGCCTTATTTTCACACCTAAAAGCTATCCTACTGTACCTCGTTCACTTCATATTTTTATCCTTTTATAAACATTCCATATTTAGGAAAATCTAGAATACTCTAACTTTTTCAAATTAAAATCTAATCATAGTTGATAAATTTACTGTTAAAATTTATTCCATCAAATCATACACCTGAAAACGATTAGGTAAAGCAATCACATTCCGAATTTATTAGAAGAAAACAAAAAAAAAAAAAAAACTTTCCATTTTAATTTCTACTACTTCCTCTTTTTTTTTTTTTGTTGTTTATACCTCTTTTAATGGCAATTTCGTAAAGTTGTTCAGTTACCATTTTAAATTTTCTGCTAATCCTAAATGAATTCATTTATTCAAAGTAAATAACCATGGGAAATTGTTGTTAGTGGGTGATAAAATCAAACTATTATTTGTAATATAAATTAGACATCTTTCATATCATCATCATCATCATCATCATCATCATCATACAATACTACTTTCATTTAAAATCATTCATTTAAAATTGAAGTGTTTCATTCTTTTCTGCATTAGAAATGATATAAAATTAGATCAAATCATCAATTTTGCTCATAATAGTTTCACAAATTTACGTAAGTCATATTTTGAAAAAAAAAAAAAAAAAAAAAAAATTTATTGCTTCTAAAATTATAGGGTAAAAAGGAATTCAATGCATAAATTTTTCATCTAGTCATTACTATAGACAAAATTCCAGTCTACAGGGAAATAAAATATATGCTACAGAATATTGGAATATGTACAATTTACATCATTATCCATCAAATGACACATTAAAAAAAAAAAAAAAAAACGTTATTAGTTTTTCGAGCAAGAGCTTAATAATTGGTTAATAGTGCACCATTCATTCACAAGAATGATATAATTTAATATCATCATTCTATCCCAAAATCAAATTAAAAAAAAATTTTTTTTTTGTTATAAATCTTATTACAAAAATCTTCATTTTCTTTTTTTTCTTCTCAAATATTTTTGATGAAAAAAATTTTCACCTTATTAACCACGAATGATTTTTCTTTCTTTCAACATTAGTTTCAAAACTGTCAAAATTAAACGAATAAAAAAAAAAAAAACCTGAATTCAGATCAACATCATAAATTAATTCTAACAACAAGTGTTTTCCATATTTGTATTAAATTAGAGGCAATCAGTAACGTCCCATTTAAACTTCCCTCTAACTTTTCGAAATCATTTCTACTCCAAAAAATTATATATAATTGATAAAAAATATACATAATTGATAACACATATCTAACAAAAAAAAAATAGAACTCAACCTGTTCTAATACTTTTATGGTAACATCGCTATAAAATTTGTTAAATATAAATTTGAAAAAAAAAAACTTAGTAACAAGTATATATTATAAAAGAAAAGAAGAAGTTGAACAGAAATGGAAAATTAATTCTTCACATTTTTTTCTACTTTTTCGAAGAATAAATCCTTGAAAAATACACTCCATTTTTTTTCCTTCATTAATACTACGAAAAAAAAACTTTAAAATCAAGTCTTAATTTTCAAAATCTCGACCTAGGGATCATACCACTTCCCATGTAATGTTCTTGTGAATTATGAATAATATATTAGAGAAGTAACGAAAATTAAAGAAAAAAAAAATATATATATAAAATAATTTCTTGTACATTTAAATGAAAAATTTCTATTGAACACAAATTCTTCAATTCACTGTTATTATCAGTGATATTTACATCAATATATTTTATCAAATTCCTATGCTAATAGACCTAACGCCACTTCCAAAGCATAAAATTAAAAAAAAAAAAAAAAAACACCAAATTTTGCATACATTCTTAGAAACAAAATAAGATTTCTCGATTCCAAAAAATTAACATATTTGTTATGCCGCAAAATTTGATATTTTAAAGCAAATCACAACAGATGAATAAAATAAACAAACCGATGGATCGTTATGATTGTGATTTGAAGAATGTTTATGACAGAAATGTTGCAATAGAGAGGAAAATAGTCGTAATGGTGATGGTAATTTTCGTATCCTGATATGTCTTAGCGAGGAGGAACGTTGCTTATTAGACAATAAATTATGATTTGAAAGTGACATCGAATCACATATGAAGAATGTTGATTTGGCAACAACACAAACAATAATAGCAATATCAGACGTTATCAGTATAAATAAAAGATGTTTATATTAGCAGTTAATAATATTTCAATTTCATTTTCAATTTATTTTTTCATTCATCTATCTTACAATCTCTGCTTCATTGTGTCTTCAATAACAAAGAAATAAATTTTGATAATAGCGCTCCGATGAAGCGACAAATTTTTATGTTGCTATTAACGAAAGAAATGGACTTTTTAAAATACACAGCACAAAACATATGCATCGTCAAACTTTTCGAATAAAAAGTTTAAATTGGTAAATGCTTAAAAGATGCTTGATAAATAACCGTCATCTATTGCTGAAAAGAATAGCTTTCAAACAATTTTACCAACAAGACTTGGTCTCTATCGATGCTTAATCTAACTGTCATGCCTAATATAAGCCTAACCTCAATCGTACCACTTCCTTGCTAAGCTTCGCTTCATCAAACTGGGTTTCAACTAAATGAGCCTTTATAGAAATGCTGATATACAGCTCAATATTATCCCATCCTTTCTCCTTTCTTAAATGCTGCTCATCGTTTTTTTTTTTTTTTTCACCCTCCAAAAAACAAATGTTCGCTTTTCCGGAAGGGAAGCATCACTATATACTTTTAACTCCCAAAAATATTAACTTTTCTTTCTCAATTTTTCTTTTCCCATATGTTAAATAAATACCTTCATTCTTTATAATATCAACTATCGAATGCCTTTCTAGTTAATACCATCCTTTTTCCCATCATCAATTTTCATTAAGGCTCTGTTTAAGGCATACACAAATGTCTAGACATTTCAGTAAATTTTATGAAATGTAAATAACGTGAAGATAAAAATGAATGAATAGAAGAATAAATTAGGACATCAATAAACAACATACATACTACTGCTAACTAAATTCCTTTATTGTTTATCATCTACATCTCAATTTTCAAACCAGATGAATTAAGTAAATAAGTGAATGAATTAGTCAGTGACTGAGTGAATTAGATGAATGATTATACAATTGAAATAGAAAGCACGCTATTAACGAAATAGGTAAAAATAAAATAAAAGAATATGTTTCAAAGGATTGGATATATAATCCCTTATCCAGAAACTTCTTTTTCTTTTCAGATTCATGCTTACTTTTTTTTATGTAACATTTTTTTTTTACAAAAGATGCAATGTTAAACATTTTTTTTTTAAACTTTACTGGTAAATGATAAGCAATTTCAAGATGAGTATCAAGAAAAGAGAAAAAATGGAAATGGGGAAGAAAAGATGAATTTTAATGAAATGAATCTTTCGTTTTATCAAGAAAAGATGAAACATATAAACAGCAGCAGTAGGGAATAGAGAAAACGATAAAAAGAAAACCAAACAAAGATAGCCCTTTTCACCCCAAAATTTTTAACTGGTTCAGACTTTTCTCCCTCGAATAGTTTTGTTTCATCCATCTAACCATCCATCCATCCATCCATCCATCTATCCATCCGTTCATTCATTCATTCATTCATTAATTCAGTCTTTCTTCTTTTTCATCTGCCTTTTTCTTCTTTACCTCTTGACAAGTAAAGTAGTAAATAACCGATAAACGTTGCAATCCTTCCTCTCATCTACATCCATCTTTCAACCCGTATAGCAAGCATACATCAAGCCAGATCTTAATGGACTTTTTCATCATTTCCCACATATAAACAGCTGCTTCAACATAATCAACTTACCATATTCCAAAATTTGTATTTCAACTTACTTCTCCTCCTATATCACACCTCTTTCCCACATTAATTATAAAAGTAAAATCTCATTTTACAAGTAAAAACAATGAACAATTCTGTACAACATCTACAAGTCAAGCTAATATACATATACAGTAAAGCTAATATACATATATATAGCGTTCATTTATTACTTCTAGTCAAATAACTGACAAGAAACTAATCATACAAATATTTCAACTAATTAATGTAAACATCTCCCAAATTGCCATATTTAAGTTATAAACTATGAACAGACAAAAAGCAAAAACTAATTACTGAAATCTCAAGTCTTCGAACATCATTCCTTAATTGTTTTCGTTACTCACTTCAACTGTCTGCCAACCACAATCCAGCTCTCAATCACGCAAACTTCGATTTAAGATTCGCTCTGTTCATCTTCCAGTTTATATTTTCTTCTTTTTGAATGCTAATATGCTATATCATGAAATTTCTTAATAAAATTGTCTATTTTTTAAATGTTTTGTTCCCTAAGAACGACTTTAAACTAGAAAAAATTAACAGAAGAGAAATGGGAAAAAAGAGGCATTGCTAAACTAAGCAGCAGAAAACTTAAAAAAAAAAAAAACTTAAAAATCCAAGGCGCTTCTGGATCGAATAGAGAATTTTTCTGTACCCTATCATCAGAAGAAAAAAAACATTGAACAAATTAAATAAATAATATGATAAAATATGAAAGAAACCTTTTCCATGCAACTCACTCACACATGGACATTAAAAAACTAACCAAAAAACTATGAATTATTCTTGATACCTAATCAAAATAGATTGGAAAGCTTTAAATTCTCTTACGATGCAAAGATCTCAGTTTGAAATCAATAATAATTTTAAGAGAAATACACAGAATACATACCAACATATAGGATGAAGCTGTACCAACCTGCAACTTTATTTTTTTGCCTTAATACTTGATATCCATAATCTGTTACGTTATGTTAAAAGGCGTAATAAAAATCACTGCTCAGTAATAATGCAGCCAAATTTGAAAAAAAAAAAAAAAAAAAACTTTATGTTAAAAAAAAAAAAAAAAATCAGAATTAGACCTCCAAATTGTGATTACTGCTTGATGAAGTACAACTACGCAATGAATTTCTATCCTCATTACTTGTCGGCAAACTATCACTGTCTTTCGATGTACGATCTGACACCGATGTTGTGGTTGTGGCACTTAAATTTCGTGCAGATACTTGCCTCATATCTGAAAGATTTTCTTGTCTAAAGATAAAAATTTCCTTGATCTCAATTAAGTATATGACGAATTCAGACCCCTTAAAGCTTTTGAAAAATTTTTTTCCTCAATGATTATAACATTAGTACCAAAATTGGCAGTCATCAGTCCCTGCATCAACTCTCGAATCTTCTTGACCCAATGCACTTTGCACTGTTCACTAGCTGCTTTCAATTCCGTACGCATTTCCGTATTTGGCTCATTTCCCTGACGCAATGCAAATTTGCTCGCATCACCTTCCACATGCTCACAGACATTGACCTCAGCCAACTGAAATTGTAAGAACATTTTAAATAAATGACAATTGATAACAGCAATATTATTCCTTATGCTCTCCAATGTTATCAACAGGTGGCAATAATCAGCACTAAACAGTGTAACTGAACAGCTTAATCCAAGTTATGATCATTATTGCAGTGAAAATTTCAATATTTATATTTTTCAGCCAACTCTTTTTCTCTCATTCTATTTCCTTTATCGTAAGTATTTTTCAAATATGAAAACACTTGCCATCAGATGAGTTTTGTAGGTATATTTGATTGCTCGACTTGATAATTCTGTTTTCTTTGCGAACACAACGCACAGTTCAAACAGGAAGACTTGCCTTTCTCGACCTTTCTTGAAATACGCTTTGGGATCCCAAACCAAAAATGATTCTTGCATCACAAAATCACCAAGAACACCAAGTTTCTAAAATAATTTTTCCTCAAAAATAAATCGAAATGATTTGTATAGAACGAAAAACATAAAAGTTATAGGAATGGATAACATCAAAACAAATAAATCAAGAAACAGAATAATATTGGCTTTCGTAATGACATTCTCTGATATAAGTGAACTGATATATTCTCATATTTTGATTCTACCTCAGTATACCTTATTCACCCTCATTATCACTGATCTACAGCTAACACTTGCAAACAATTTAGAAATAATTTTAAAACTAATAATAAAGAAAAAAACGAATTTACTTTATAATTTTCAAAATTGCCAAGATGCATAAGATCGTTGGCTCGTCGTGGCACGCTAACGACTACATCATAAGCTTCCTGCAATATTTTAAACAAAGATATACACTTCATTCAAAACATTAAAGAAAAAATATCTGATATTTGCTATAAACAGCGCATTGCAAGGTTACAAACTCTTATTTGGTAATGCAAATTATTACACTACCAAGGTATTTAACTTTTATTAACTGTAATTAGCAATCTCTTAAATCAGTGCCGCAATGTATGGCAAATATGATATAGTACAGTTTATGATTACCCACTATTTATCCTATCAACAAATAATTTGCTCTATGGATCCTAAAAGCATATTTTAAGCTAGATTTCTTTATTGTCAAAAAACTAAATATTGAAATGGTATGCAAACATACCCTGATTTCATCAACATTATGCTTGCAATTTTTCAGCAGTTGTTCAAGCATTAAACGATATCGCGTAATTCGTTGAACAGGCTTGATTACCAAAGATGACAAGTCCTGACTGTGTTCCAAACCACTTGTTTCACGAATTTCCTAGAGTTAAAAAGTTGAAAATTTGAGAAAAATTTTTGAGTAAAAAAGAAAAATCAAAAATTTCAGTAAGAAATCAGGAATGTTGCTAATTCCATTCTAGTCTTAACCAAAGAAAGAAAAAATACACCCTTTTCTACATGTTGAAATGATGATGAAGTTTAATGGTTAATAAATGCGTATAACTTATTCCAATAAAATGTATCCACAGCTAGTAGTCATCTTTTTGAATATATCTTGGATATAATTATCATTTTTTCATTAATTAATGATTCATCTAGTCATTGCCACAATATGAAACATAAGATTTCATTGGAAATGATATTACTGAGACAGTAAACAAAAGAAAAGAAAAATGACAATTCACTTGTAAGAAACAGTATGCAAATATACTAACCGAAAAGAATTGCATAGCTTCTGGCAAAGCAATAATGTAATTATTTTGTTCTTTGTTCACGCAATATTCCGTGTACAAAGTATTTAGCATTTCAACGGAAAATATGAAACAATAGCCCACATCTTCTGGATCATTTTCGTGTTTGATCAATTCTGGCAGGAATACTCTGAAAATATTGATTTTAAAAAATTTAAAAAGCTAAAATAAAACGCTCAATTTTAAACAAAAGATCTAAACAATGACATAATCATCCTCTATAATGTGTTATGTAAAGGCAAATGACTAAGATTATATAAATAAATGGAATGAAGCGCTACTTTATACAATTAACACCAATTTACTTATTGTGAATCATAACTTCGGTGACTGGCAGTTTATAATTGTTTTAAATCATATTAAACATGATTTATCAATGGATAAAGTACTTTTTTATTTAATGCAATAATTACAACATATATTTCTCTACGCTCAGAAACATTTTTTACATTGTTAAAGCAATTCTTTTTTTTTCTTTAGTACTGTGAATAGCGATTAAGCAATTTACCACACGAACAGTATGAATACACGAATACTTTGCTTTGAAATTGGAAAAAATAATTTTTATTTTTTGTAATTGTGAAAATACTAACTCATTATGAAATTTATAAAGTTGTTCGATATTGCTGAAAATTTCCTTCTCTTTACCGCGAATTGCTAGAGGTAATGTATCATTTGCTGCACGATATGCACTTAGGTAATATTTAATACATTTATGCAAGTCTTCGATATAATCTTTTTCAGACTTAATCAACTCCATCATTGGCTCTCTAAAATAACAAATAAAAAATATTAAGAAATAATTCAGAATAGCCGATAACACATGAAAAATATCAAAATATGGAATATATATATGAAAAGGTGGCTTAGCTTATAAAATACCAAACAAGATTTGATATATGAAAAGACATATCAATGTCAAGAAATGTCTTTAACTTACCTCATCTTACGTTTTTCTTCATTAGCTAATCGTTCGACCTCAATTTTTGCTTCAATATTCGAATCACTTTTTCTATCCAAAGAAAATTCATCTTTCTGCAAACAATTATAATTACATTGATATGAATCATTTAATATGTATTAACTTATAATTATAGAAAATAGCAAAGATTTAAGGAAGAAAGATAGAGTTAAGCAAATTTATGCATATTTCGATAAACAAACCGCTTTATTTACATCCAGTTTTCGCCCGAGTGCTCCGGAAAGTAAATTTTCATAGTCAGCAAGGCGCATGGAAAAATGTTCATAGCTTGATCGTACATCAAGCATTTTTCGTTCGATGGCATCACAATGGTGATCTAGCACGGAGAGGAATTTTTCAGCCAATTCAAGCATCATTCGAACTTTCAACCTTTTTTGCTGAAAGAAAAGAAAGAAAATGTGAACTCCTAGCTGAATTTTTTAGCTTTATATTTCGTTTAATGTAAACATATTATTATTTATGGATCATAGTAAAGCAGATTATACGTATACTCATTAAATAAATTAGCAAAATAAAAAAAAATACAAAAACAAGAACAGCGAAATAACGAAATGAATAATTATATGCACAACTCTTATTTGCGTCTAGTTTAGATAGAAAAGAAAAACCTTTGCTTCAGCTTTGAATGTCATATATTCATCCATGTATGCTTCTAAATTTTCTCGATTCGCCATGTTTAATTGCCTTTCCAAACACTGTTTTAAAAATGTTTCACCTTCAACAGCTATCCACTCAGCATTCTGCAAAAACTAATTGTTATTATAAGTACGATTTAATTTTCATTTCAAATCCATTAAATCTAAAATTTGAAAATAGAAACATTCAAGAACCGTAATGATATTGTTTGCTTAACAGATAATATCTGAAGTATCACCTCAGTGGCCGTGGCTTCAAGAAGACATGCTTCATGACAACGATCAAGTTGTTGCTTTTTCCGCATCCATAAATCCAGAATTTTCATTTGTCGCTTACGCAAATTTTCCTTAAGAGCTAAAAGGCGCGTTTCATGTATTCTTATATGCTCTGTTGATGCCTCACAACGTCGAATATATTTCAGAAACATCTCTGATGTTTTCTGCCCGTATGAACAACCCTGTAATTACTTTAATAAGCACAAAAAGGATCTGCTGTCTACAAGTACATCAAAGAATTTAAATCAAAACAAGATATGAAACTAATTGAATCAAAATAAGATATGAATATAAACCTTTAGAAATCTCTCTTTATATTCCATATGTTTCGATAACAAGCTTGACATATGATGCGCTCGATCTTTAGCATCTTCTCCATTTCTAATTTGGCACCAGTCTTTCGAACTCATACTGTATTCTTTCTCGAGTTGGTCCAAAATTGGCATGACCTACAAAAATTTAGAAAATTACTTGATAAACGATGGAAATTATTATTATTTTTTTTAATATATATATATACCGAAGTATTACTGGTAGTATTTCAGACTTTCATCGTTATTTGTTGTATAATAATAAATTCATGAAACTTCTGATTAATATATGACAAAATATTTCCGTCTCAAACAACATTCAACTACCTACAACATTGGGTTTCAAACTATGTTTTCCCATATAATTAAATAGAATCATTTATAGTCATATAATGTGGCATCATATCGATTATGCAAACTTTAATTAATATTCACTAAATTTAAATTTGTGCTATAATTCCATTGCTTTTATTGGAAGTACTAAAAGTCATTCATCGAACGAATAAGGTGATATTCGATTCCATTTTCTTCTGTTAATTAGCTAAGGCACCAAATCATTACCTCTAAAATGTCTAAATAGAATCCTCTTTTAAAAGAACGACCTTTTTCTCCTTGCATACACGTTTTATCTGCGCCTGATAGCGGAAGAAGCTTATACATCCTACTTAACGATTTAATTTCTTCTTTTAATGTTTTAATGACATCTATTACTTTATTAGTATCGAGAAAAAATTCGTCGCTATTTATGTATGATTAAAAGAAATCATAAAAATGCTTTATGAAAAGAAACATAAAGGGAAAACTTACTCCCTGATGTAGTGTTTTGTAGCACACAACACCGGCTTTAATTAATTTATTCCTTTCTTCTGTAACACCTACTAATCGTCTCCAACGATTTAGTACTTCTTCATTCAAATCATCTACCAAGCGGACATCAACACCACCGCTGCTAATCAGTTGGTCGGTTTTATTCAAAAATGCACTTGTTGTACGACTAATACTCTAAAATTAACATCTGTGAAGTTTTAAAGAACGGAACCCTTTTAAGTTCTTCTCTGGGACTCAAGCATTTAAATACTTTTATTTTATTTTATTTCTTTTTTTTTGCAAAATTTCAAGGTTCACTTCCGAATTTTGTATCAGTAGGCGACATACTAAGTTCTGAAGAAATGTTTGATAATAACCGAAGACTACTAAGATAAGTAATCAAATTTAAGATGTACAATTTTGATTATACTACTAACATTTTATAAAATTAGATGGAAAAAAGGTTTCGCAATTGATCAATTCAAAAATTTAAAGACGTAACGATTTCATAAAAGGTTAAACAAGTCTTTCAAAACTCACTCATTTCACTACTGCAAATGAAATTAGCACAAATTCCACTCAGAGGGAAACGTGGCAATTGAGAAGAGAGGAACACTACCCTATCATTCCTCATGAATGATTAGTAACTGTCAGCATTTTGGATAAAACGTTATGCAAACAATGTGTTTATAGGAATGATTTTTAAAATTTAAAATTGAAATTTAAACGACTTCATTTAGTCAAATTGCTTTAAATAATATGAATATCAACAAAAGCACATAATATAATCAGTCAGCACCGGATAAAAAAGAATTTAAGAAAGAAAAAATGCTCTAAGCTTTTAAAGGGCTGAGTTGCTTATTCAAGAAGCTAATAAATCAAAATGTGATGTGTAAAGGTGAGGAATGTGGATAATTCACTACACATATATCAACAGCATGACTCGAATAAAGCAGAAAAACTTAATATAAATTTAATTCGAGTATCATATTCCATAATTGGGGAAATTTCAGTAGGCTATTTGGAAGCTCCCTTTTTATCAGGAAGTCATGAAAACCGAAGCAAAGACAAAAAGTCTCTTTGAAAACAGATGATTCTAGAAAGAATATTAAAACATCGGTTTTAGCTTATGAAAAAATTTACCTCGATAGCATGCTGAAACTGTTTGTGAGCAGCCTGAGCAGCTAGAGCTTCTTCCAAAGAAATCGGAATTGTATTCATGTGAAGTAATTTTGTTTCTTCGTATTGCATTTTTTGTATTGCAACTGCTGCCATTGCGCGTGCACGATTGAATTGCATGCACTGCTCAATTCGATGATGTGTTTCCTGTGCTACCTGAAGTAAACAAAAATAAAATCGATAAAACCATATTTTAACATATCAAGATCTTTTTTTCATTATACACTTATAATATGAATGTCAGTCAAGAAGACTGCATGTGATTTACCTTAATGATTGTAAAATTTATAATTTGAACCACTTACTATTATATCATGTACAATTTAATAGAATTTTATTAGTTTAATTGATAACTTCACATTTCTTACTTCGGAAAAGTTTCATAAAAACAAAAATAAAAATAGCAGTAATAAAACACGAAATACTATATTTGCACAAGCGAAAATTTTAACAAAATTTACATAAAATTTTACCAGCCACATCTAATAATATCCACAAAAAATACCTTATCTAGAAAATAATCAATTTGGTTGATAATGATAGTATCTTCCATGTTAGTAATAAAAGAATTATTAAATAAATTAACCTGCATTACTTCACGTTGACAATCCGTCAGTTGTTGTAAGCTAGTAATAATCACATCGGTGGCTAGGATACCTTCTGTATTAACGAGTGTAGATTCGTTGTCTCGAAGCGCCTTTAAATAAAATTTATTAAAATGCATGCCCTTATTTTAATAAATCTAAAAAAATAAATGTCGGTCAATAGATCTCAATAGTGAACATTTTTATAGCTACTCCGTTGACTAATTAAACCATGAAACATTGTCCGAAATAGCCTTCCTATTTCCTCAATTTTGCATCTTCTCCCTCTTTTTCATCCTTTTAAAAAAGAAAAAATATTTGAAAAAATCTGACATATTCATTTTCCCTAAACTAAAAAGAAAAAAAACGAAATCTTCTATCATACGAAATACTAAAGTGCAATAATAAAAGAGTCAACAATCATGCTAGTGCCAAAACGCTTAAAGGATTGAAAAAGGATTATTCGTGGTTGATTATTCATATCAAATATATAACAAGCAATCGAATTTCATAAGCAAATGACCAATGGATTAGAGTGATTGTCCATTGTCCCTTTCTACACAACATTTCACATCAAAAATTAGTTGGAGGAAAATTTATAAAAATAAAAAAGTTCAGATTTGTAAAAAAAAAAATGATTACTAGTTTCGTAAGATTTGAGCAAAACATGCCATCAAGTGCGAACGAGAATGAAGAGAAGTATAGAAAAAGTGTAAGAAATATTTGCTATAAGTGACCAATATTCTGCTTGTTTCATTTCAAATAACGAAAAAACTTTATATTTCTTATTAATTGTTAACGATAATTTTCCTTTTTTTTTTTGTCCTTCATAATAAATGGGAATTTAATCAACAAATTTGATACTTATGCAGGAACTAAGCAAAGATATGGCAAGTATATTCATTCATCATATCGAACAGAAACGATCAGAAGTGAACAGAAAAATAAGGCACTAATTTGAAAAGATGTAAGAATGGTAAAAGAATAAGAAATTTTCATAATAACACTTATTAATCATGGTAAATAATAAACAGTTATCAAATAATATAAGTTTTAAAGAAGTTTTTCCAGAAATCTACTCAAAATCTTAATAGTAAAGCTCAAATTTGAAAATTCAAATGCTAATTTCAAAAGCTTTCATAAAATACAGTCATAATTTTCCCCCTTCTTATAATAATGATTTTATAATAATAATAAAATAATTCATGGACCTCGAAGTCTATTATCAAAATACCACGTAAGGTAATAATTTAAATTAACGTAATACTGAAAAACTAATTTATGTCAGAGTAACAAGAAATTTTAATAGAAGAAAAAAAGTGACTGTAAACTTCTGCGTAAAACTTAAAAGTTTCAGATTTTTAAGAGAATCACAATGAAGTGGGTGATTATTTTTCTTGAGCAAGTACTGCATAGATATTGTTATAATTTCATTTTAGCTAAAAATACTTTATGATGGATAAAAGACTACCTGTAGTAGTTCAGCAGCATTATTTTTTATTCCAGTGACAGCATTTTTAACCTGAGTAGTATTATCATCTTGATATGGTAGAATGTGTTCTGCACGTTCAGCGAAATTATTAGATTTCACCAAGGCCACCATATCTTCTCGCCAGTTCTGCAAAAACTAAGATGAAGGAATAATCCCAGAATGATTGCATAGTGTAATAAATTTTTTATATATACTGCTACCACTTCGATCTAAAATAAAAATCTAAACTTATGTAAAAGTTAAATCCAATTATTTTTGTACAAAATAAGTTCTTACAAAGTTCAGATTGAAACATAAGGAAATATGTGATTGGGAAACGAACGCTTAAAACCTAGTCCAAATTATTAAGCCTTATCACAAAAATCTCATCATATGAATTCTCTTATACCTTAAGTTGTTGAATAATCTGTTTGCAATCCTTGACAAAAACTGCAAATTTTACACCAAGCTGAAGAGATCGTCTTTGATGTGGCCAACGATCAGCTAGTTTTGCATGCCGCTGCTCTACAAATTAGAAAATTTGAACTGATGAATCAGTTTAGATAAATAATTAGATATAATTTAGGGTGTTACTAGTAATTTAGAAATAAATCACAAACAAACTACTCACCAATATCATTGATTAAACGCTCGATGACAGCAACTACTTCATGATTATCAATGTTCATCATTTTAGCTTGTTGTTCCAGTGCTTTGATTAGCTGATTTCCTTCACCAATTGTAGTCGCATACGCCTAAATGCTAAATGTCTTTAAAAAATGAAATCGAATCAAAATTTTAATCGTCTTAAACAGAAGATATAATTTTCAGTCCTATGTTAAGAATTTTGAAATTTCATTCTTCATCAAGGAATTATAAATTTGATATAGTATTAAGTATGAAAGGAGAATCAACCTGCGCCGTTGCATCACTTTCAATCATCCACTCTTCTTTACGACGTTCACCTTCTTGAACATTTGTAGAAACAAAATCATACTGACTACTCTTCACCTCCATTCGTCCATACCATTCCATAATTTCACTGTAATGTGTGTGGAACAAAACCGATTTATTCAGCAAATCTCGTCGTGCTTCAACCTAGAAGTAACTTTTCTTCACTTATAATATCAAAAGTATGGATCTTCAAAGACGTTTTTGGTTATAATAGATGCAAACAAAAAAAAAAAAAAAAAAAGTCTAAAAAGAAATACTGACTCTAACGGAGAAAGCTTCAATTCGTCTCCTCAATTCTTCCACTACAATACTCATCTGTTGTACATCGCATTCACCTGAAATTACAACACTTTGTTTTTAACATCTACAGTTATTAAAACTTATTTCAATCACTAAAAGTTATTACAATTTAATTAAATTAAAGCAATGGTAAGCTGAAAGTATAGTTGGCGTATATTTTGAAAGTAGTGAGCATGCTAAGAAGAGATTTTCTGGGCTTGCTTTAGCGATGAATATTTTTTATGTTCGAACTGTTACCCGAAAGACTTATAGGTAAGTAAATGAAATAAATGGACTCGTAATAAATAGTAGCTATCAGAAATGACCTATACTGAATCTGAAATAAAGCACTTTTGGTATTACGAAAATGTGAACTGAAGCTAATGGTATGAAAGTTTTTGAAAGTTGGAATTATAAATTTTGTAAACCATACACGCAAAAAAAAGAAAAAATACAAAACTATATGGGGAATAAAAACTTGCCGGACTCAATGATAGTATTAGAAGCGGTAAATAATTTTTCCGCGTTTGAGTAGGTATTAGAGGCTACCGACCGGAAATGACTATGATTCCTTTGTAAAACTTTTGCTTGCGATAAATTATTACCAATAGCAGTATTTTTATTTAGGTATGCATCACCATGTTCTTCTAACCATTGAAGAACCTGAAACAATCAAAAGAAAATGTTCTAGCTTACATGTTATAGTTCCTGTATTACATATATTCAAATGCCTTTTATCCTTAGGGCTTTACTGTTATTAATTAATAAAGTGCTTGTACATATCCTAAAAAAGATTCCGAAAATGTTAAATTTTCGAAATAGTTTTTAATAGAACCATAGTCTTCAAACCAGTTTTCAGTTTCCAGCGATCTTCTAACAACGAAACATTCGCTTCACTGTAGAAAACAAGATTATACATCAACCTTTTGAGAAATTTAAATTAAGTCAACCACGCACTTGACGTTAGATTTATGGCTTGAGACATTTGGTCATACACAACTATTTGGATGACTTAAGATTGCCTTCGAAAATATTTGCAAAAAAAAAAACAAAAATAAATAAAATAAGAACCAACTCTATGAGTATCTGTTTCAAAAGCAATCAGTGCAAGTCTGGAATGTAAACGTAGCTTTTTGGCCTGCCATTGAGAATGTAATTCTTTATGTGCTCGAGTTATTTGTTGAATCAAATCAACAACATGCTTGTAAGCATTATTCTGTCCAACTGCATCGCTTGCTAAAGTTTTTAAGATTTGCGTTAAGGAGCGGCCATCACCAACGGCCTGCAATGGTTACTCATTTAAGATTAATAAAGATACTTAAAATGCCACTTAAACAAAATTACTTGGCACATTTATAATTTAGTTAAACTAATCCATTCACTTAACTTTTGAAATGGTGTTCTACTGTTAAGTAATACTTAATTTTATCAATTTAATAAGTCTTTGTTAATTTGATCTCTTGGGAACAGTATTCTTCTTTAGTTATCTCTTTTAAGTTTATCCACTGTAGATCAAACAAAAGCATTTCCTTGCAATTAAGGACAAGAAAAAAAGCAAATCTTTGACCTAACCACAAACAAAAAGAAGAAATGTATTAATACACTCCAATTAAACATTACTTAAAAGCACTAAAAATTATGAAAATTATGTAATCTTTCAACCAATCATATAAGGTTGCAACCTCATGCAGCAACCTGTTTGATAACGCTTCTTTAAACCCGCATCAAAAATCTTAACAATTTTACTTCAGCATATGTTTGCAAAATCATTTCTCCAAAACGTTCGTGTTCAGCGATTGCCGCTTCCAATTCATCACCGGAATACTGACCCATCCGTCTACCATTATCCAATGTAATGTTATGCAACCATGATGACATGTTTGACAAATACTGCAATGTCAATATACCAATAATGGAAATAATTGAAAAAAAAAATTAGTTTATAAAAATCAAAAATCCTCATCGATCAAGCCAGAATTTTTTTTTTTATTTTTAAATACAAAAATATAAGCAAAAAGTCAACTATAGCAAGTTTTTGTTGATATCATTAAATCTTGAAACAAAAAATAATTAAAAGTTACAATATGGCTTTTACGATGAAAAGAAAGCGCCAAATCAAGAAGTCGAGAACGCTGTTCATTGACTTGTTTAAATCGTCGCCATTCTTCATCCAAATGCATCGCAACGTTTTCAATTTGTACTTTTCCGTAATTTCCAATTTCGCGAAGGCGTTTGGCAACCGTCATTACATGTGATACATTAACCTCAGTATTCTGCACAGTTCATCAATTATTTTGTAACAGCAAATTATATTCCATATTGTCATTTTTAGAATATGAATTTTAAAAAATCAGAAAAAGCCCATATGAGATCAGATCAGAATAATGAAAATCTTGTGGAAAAAGGCCCTAACCGGAAGATTTTCATTATTTTAATTTCACTTAACAAATCAAAACTGGTTTTAGAAAAAAACTTTACATTAGCTGCTGCGATAAAATCAAGATGTTCTGTAAGTAAGGCTGAAGTTGACTGCTCAGAATCACCAATTTCAAGAAGTCGTTGCATTGATAAAGCATAATGACTACGAATCCAATCGAACATCTAAATGTGAACTATTTTCTCAGAGAAATAAGCGAGGAGGAAAAGATATTTTAAAGAATGAGCACACTTTAAAGCACAAAGAGAACAGATGGAAAGGGAACAGCTTTTTCGAAGAAAAGTAATCACAAAAATATCTACTTTATCTGCATCTTGCTCAAAAAGTTTGAGTTGATAGCAATGATCCAGCTTCTGCCGACGTGTTTCCCACTGTACAAAAATTTCATCTCTGAAGAACTCACCATTAAAGTAAGAATGTTAAAAAATAATAAAAAAATAAGGGTGAAAAAAAATGCTTCATTGGGATTAATTTCACGTTCAAGTAATTTATAAAATTAAACAAACTTTGAGGTACGAAGCGAATTGACAAGGGATGCAAGATGAGGAAGGGCAGCAGTAAGGTCTGGATTAGTTGTTAGCAGTCCATTTGATGAATTATAATTATCATCGGGTGTTCCATCAGTACAGCCTGATATCCTTTGCTGTACCTGAAAAAGTAAAAAGGAAAGAAAACAACCTCAGAAATAAAATCAGGACACGAAAATTCTTTCAGATTAGATAGGATTGTTACAATTAATATCGATTAATATCGTTAATATCGGAAAATTAATATCGAATTAATTAGATTTTTATATAATTTTTTTTTTTTTTTGTTTTTACACTTACTCGTTCAACATCATATTGAATCCGTTCGATTGGTGCACCTAAGATTTTCTTCTTCAGAACAACATGTGCTGCTGTGGCACGTTCGGCTGTAGCAACATCAATTGGCATTTCACCATTTTTCATTTCTTCACGAAAATTTTCAAAATTATGCATAACATCAATCGTTTGCCATATCAACCTTTCCAATTCCTGCATATCCAATAATAGTTGCCTTTTTTTCAAAAAATACTGCGACAAATTGTTCTTTCAAATAAACCAAATCAATGTCAAAAAAAAATTTGCTTTTGTATTAATTAAGCAAATTTTCATGCGTAATAAAATGAAATTCTCGTCTTCTACTAAAAAAATTATATCGGAAAATAAAATAAGAGGAAACTGATTACCAATCTTGTCTCAAGCCATTCATCGTGATCATAAAATAGTGAACCACCTAAATCACGCGTTAACTGCGATGAGTCGATATATCGCGTAAGTCCTTCGACCGAAATCATTTGAATGTCAAATTTGTATTTTCCACTTGACACTGATGTCTTATGCTTCTCCCAGAATTTGTCCGGCTTAATTATCAAAACAGCATACACTTCCGCAGGAAAATGTTCCTACAATTAATAAATCAAGAACGAAAATAAAGGACTGTAACATATATATGGGGAAAACGTGATTCTAAGAATCAGGAAAACAAATATCAATTTTAAATTCTGAAGAGTATCACAAAATGCTCTACTTAGCACCCCAATTCTAAATTCTTTAAATTTCTTGAAATCTTCCTTTTCCAAAAGAAAAACACAAACAATATTTCTTTCAAAAGAAATTATCACTATGTATCCTCTTAAAATACAATATCCATACTAACCTGTATAGATTTGAGAATAGGTTTAACATTATTCCACGTTGTGCCTTTACGCATGTCGATGATGATCGTAAATCCACGATCCTTGTAATCATCTCTGAAAAATTTACATCATCATTCAACATATCTAAATAGGTAACTATTTTATATTTTTTTTTCTCAATTTACAATATTATAACCTTTCATCTACTAGCAGCTATGTAGTTTATTCATTTTTTTTTATCATAAAAAATAAAATCACTGTATTTTCCATTTAATCTACCAATCCCGGTGAATAATAGCGAAAATTTAATGTCTGCTTGATAGAAAATATCGTCATATCTGATACGCATAGAAATACCTCATCTAATAATCAGAATCCTAATTATAAATTGTGTAAATTACACTGACTTTTACACATCCGAAAAATTCAATCACTAAAAAAGTCCAGCTTTCAACTTATTTTTATCCTAAAAAATTTTTCAAAAATTTCTGCTAAAACTAACGCAGTAACAGCATGGAGATAAATAAGTATATTTCGAATATGATCGGGATTAATTGGCGTAGTATTTTCTCGAGCTGGGAAGATAATCACAGCCCGACCGTTCCTATCCCTTGCACCAGGTAATAAGGCCACACGATCACGTAACACGTGAAGGATATCCTCAGCTTTTGGACACCCATCTCGCATCTCTACTGATGATGCAACACTTCCGTCACCACGGACGTTTGATGTCCCAGACCAATTTTAGATCTTTGTTACAACGATTATCTGTATTTCTGTAATATGAAATGATTTCACACAACTTTCTTTCATAAATACCAAATACTCACAGTTCCACTCTTTCAAGAATTTCAAGAATTCACAGTAAAAATCCATAATAAACAATAATAATAATAATAGCAGAATAGATGAAGTAGCAGAATTGCAAAATAAAACACTAACAGTGATGTTGTTTTATGAAATTTCTAAAAATGATTTGTAGAATTTACGCATATTCTAATATTATACATTACTCTTCTGATGTTCTAACTAGATAGTTTATTGAACTTGGTAAGAACATAACGTTATATCAATGATGAAAAATCATAGAATAACGAATAATTAAAACTAATAATTGCAATTAATTATGATAATGGAATTCGATGTAATCATTATTTGTAGTAAAATTTAATAGAAGGACTACGTTAAGAAAATTTCATCACTTGTAAAATTTAAATTGAATTTAAACTTCATTTAAAAAGATTCGAAAATTTTAGGGACCAAAACTTTCGAATCTTATCTTAAAATCTCCTTAAAAATCTTATCAAAATCATAACGAATTAAAATTATTGGTGAAAAGTTTAAAATTACAATAAAATTCATCTGGATGAAAATAATCGTTCATGTAATAACTGTCAAAGTTACAGCGAGTGTTATTAGAAAAAGAGCGATAACTATGATAAAACACTGTAATTTAAAACAAATATAATAAATATTATAATAATGTAATAAAACAATGTGAACTAACAGAATTGAAATTATTACTAATAAATTTATGAAAACTGAAACTTGGCTAATTACTGTAATCATCAAGATCATGGTGGAAACAACATTATGTAATCATAATCCAGTTGTTGGTAATATGAGGGAATGATTTCGGATATAATCAATAAATGATAAGATAATAAGGATGAGCATCTTAAATGATTACATTTAGATAATTAATATGTTGATTGCGGACATAATAGCAGTAAAATTAAGATTCAAATTTTATAATATTAATGTCAAAGTTAATAGTAAATAGCATCAATGACATTGATAATGATAGTGATAAGTGACAAATGATGGAAGTATATAAAGCAGCAGTATCACACTTCCTGAGATTTTCTAGCATACCCAAGATTAGAGCAATATCCCGGGCAATTGAACCCGCGGAAGCCGAAGGCTGCAAAACATCCAATATGTATTGGTAATTTGTCAACTATTGCAGCTATATATTGCGCTTTTTCTATTTAAGAGGATTAGAATTTCTCTCTCTCTCTCTCTTCGACAACTCTTTCCTCTTCCTGTCTTCGTCCCTGTCCATCCCTCTCTCTCTCTCTCTCTCCCTCCTTTCCTCTCCTTGAATAATTTCAATGTGCGGTAATATCAATGACTATTCAATATTGTCATATCATAGATTTCATCAACGGATGAAAAATGAAAACGAATGGATGGGAATAAATTAACTTTGATTATATTTTTAATAATATTTCCGTTAATTTTTTTTTTTTTTTTTCAGAATTCACTGTATATTTATCGATAAAAGCTACTGAAACATATTCTTTTGGTATATTTGTAAACGTTTAAATGTTTAAGCCAATTATGCAAATCTTTATAATTTTAAACTTAATTTTATTTATTTATGTGTACAAGAAGGAAAGAAAATAGAATGCAAATAAAACTATTTTGTTTAAACATTAAAAAAGAAAATGATAGTATTAATGACATATTGATTAATTTGTTTATTTGTTTATTTTTTTATTTATCTATTTCTTTGCTATAAAAATGATAGTATGAATGACATATTGATTAATTTGTTTATTTGTTTATTTTCTTATTTATCTATTTACTTCTTTACCATAAAAATATTAGTGTAAATAAAATGATTCATAATGGTAAGTTGAATTTCAATCAATAGAAAACCGTGTAAGATTCATCCGGTAAAGTAAGCATCATCGTTAAGCGTAAGCGTTAAGCTACGTGTAACATGCTTTTATCATACACGTACGCTGTATTTTGCATATAATCCTGAACATAATACTTTGATGAAATAATAGAAAAGTTGACCTATTGACCTTTCTTCATTTCTTCCTTTCTTTCTTTCTTTCCCTCATTCTGTAAAGATTATTAAGTGAGAATTTTATTCGTTCATTTCTGAGAAGGAAATGAAAATAGAACCCATCGATTCATCTCTTCTTCTTCTTGCCGTCTCTCACTTCTTCCCACTCTCTTTCTCTCTTTTCCGTCTCGTCTAATGAAACACCTCAGTTCTATTTCGACATTCTTCATCTCAATCATCATATTTCTACATTTTCTTTTTCAACTTACCAATCATCTCTTCATTTACTTATTTACATCGAGAGCAGAGAGGTAGAGGAGAGGGGAGAGATGGAGAGGGAACTGAATGTAGTTATATTTCCCATCTTTTTCTCTTCAGAACTTCATCTCATCGGTAGTGTCAATTCCCTATTTCAGGTTTTCCATCTAGTTCCCCTATTTCAGGTTTTCCATCTAATTCTGCTATTTCAGGTCTACCGGATTTTTTTCCTTTTTTTTTTCTTTTTGTTAAAAGTATTAGTTGTAAAAGGTAATAAATGTGAGCTCTCTATAAATGTTAACTTTGTTATTTGCAAGTGATAAAAGAAGCTTGAATTGGCATTAATTTTGATTTTTCTCTTCTCAAAATGATATGATAATGAGTAAAATGATAAGTTGATAAGTTGCTGATCACTCTATCTCCATCTCTACAACTATACATTACGTTTTCGTATTTCGTTTTTATAGGAAGAAAAAGTTTTCAGGAACTTTTTTTTTTTTTTTATAAATGTTTTTTGAAAAATTATGGTTTATTCCTTCTCTTTAATGCATCGACCAAGTTAGTATAACAGATTTTCATTTATCAGTCAATACAAAGATGAGAAAATACAGTTTTGTCATATTTCGATTTCTGGTAGCAAAAAAAAATTTTTTTTTTTTTTGGCTATTTGTAGATTGCATATTGTTGAAAATAGTTACAATGAAATGAATTATTGCATATTACAATGAGTAACTTAAATTACTAATTTCCATTTTTAAAAGAAAAAATTCTTTTCGGAAATTTTGGTCTTATATAGATATGAAATTGATAATAAAATGAGAGAAGCGATAAACTTTAAAAATTTTTCAAGTTGTTTGATTCTGTCAATTTTTTTTTTTTTTTTCTGGGATTACTTGCAGCGATGGTTAAAAGATGTAAAGAAGAGTCCAATTTATTAATGATTGTTAAAGAATGAACAATTGATTTGTTTTGATTTGTTTGGCTACCAGATGTCCTCTAATTACACCTAACAAAGAGAGGAATGTAAATTAAGGAAGGAATATTTGCCCTTTGACCTTCATCGATGTTGACAATGTATCTTTAAAAATGTAAGATTCTGATATGTAAATACATATGAAAATACTTTGATAATTTCGTAGTGTATTCATTTTCTTCATATTCATAAATTATTTCTCTTTTTCTTTTCTGTTAGATGACGTACGTCCTTTTCCATTTGTTTATGTGCTCAGTTAGTCTTCCTTATGAAGAGAGAGAGAGAGAGAGAGAGAGAGAGAGAGAGAGAGAGATGTCAAGGACAATGGAATAGAGTAAGTTGGAAAAGATTTTCTTCTTTATTTACATTCTTCCATCTTCTTTACTAATGTTAAAACATTACCAAGATGTTTAAAGGTAACTTATATAAGATGCAAATAATATGAAAGACATTTACAACATACACGTACGTACGTGTAACATACGTCGCACGTAGCACAGAGTAGCGTAAATGATTGTTTAAATAAATCTTAAAGAATAATAATATTAGTTTTTCTTTCTTTCCTTTCATGGTTAGTGATATTTCACAGCCATAAACATTAAGCTGCTCTATGACGATAATATATGTCTCTTTTGTTTATGAGGGGTTATTGCTCTAGTCAATTCACGTGTTCTTCACGTTTGCTATCGGATGCAAACCACATCGTTGATGCGTGTGGATTTATGTGTGTACACACGTGAGGACACACGAGCAAAGTTTTATATTGGTAGACGTACGTACGTACGTACGTACACAAGTGTGTACATGCTTATTGATCATTTTGCGCATGAATGAATTAATTCTCTGTGGGACCTACAGTATGCTGTAGGTAACAAGGAAATGTACTATTATTAGCTAAGCATTCGACAAAATGCTAAACTCTTTTTTTATTTCCTTGGTTAGATTTGATATAGCATTTGTATAATTCTTAAAATGGATTTCATATAAGTTTTTAGGTTCAATTTGGTTAGGTTAAAAAAAAAAAAGGAATTACAAATTTTTATTAAATTAAATCAATTCGTTTACTATAATTATTTAGAAATTTGGTTTTCGATTTAGTAGCTGGTGGTATTTGTGGTTAATATATTTTACATTTAAATGAATTTTTCCTTTTAGTTTTTTTTTTTATTCCTCCACAAATTTGACATTTATGCAAAAGTCACATAAGATTTTACGTGAGACTACTCGTCGAGAATTTCATTTTTTTGAAATATTAATAATTTGCGCAAGTTTTCACTTATTTGATATAATCTTTATTTGCTATATTATAATTCATCGACAAATGAAACCGGTTTTCATAAGTTGCATTGATTTTGGTATATAAAATGTATCTCGAATATTACTTAACTTTAACTATGTCAATAATATTTGTCCATGGTTTGTTTATATATCCATTGAAAACTTCTTAATCCGTTGATTAATTTAAAAAAAAAAAAATAAATAAATAAATGCATGATAAACGATGATTTTAATATCTTCTCCATTCAGAAAAGTTAAATTTTGCAGCTATGGGCTTAGCAGCAAGTTCAGGACATGATAACGACGATTTGATAGACAAACTTATTGATGCCAATATTGTTGTCACTCATCGTGTTGAAATTGCTTTAAGGTCAACAA